TCAGACCTATAGTTATATTCTGTCGCTTTGGCTGACATACCTTGAGCAGCTCCTATGCTGATGCTGCCCAGAATGGCTCTGATCCCAGCGATAGTGAATTCACTCGGGCTGTGGTTGCTGGCGAGTCGAAGCACCAGGCCTTCGTCATGTTCTTCAACACAGGCAGCCGAGATAGCCTCCACGCTTTCCTGGGAGTGCGCGAGATACGCAATGTGATCTGCGATCTGAAGTTCGTGTTTGAACTTGAGCGAGTGTGCGCTAGGCTGATCGCCTACGACATGTTGATCTCGATAGACCAGCTCATTACTCCTGTCCTTTGCTGCTCTTTGCAGGGTTGCTACAGCTTGGTAGAACCTAAGTTCCATCTGCGGCGTCCACAATGCGGGCATTGTTCGATGGATTCCTGGACGGTACGATCGTGGACTCAAGCAGATACGAGTCTTTTGGAATGAGATCTACTTCGACTCGCTGGGAGATAAGACCTTCGACTTTGCATGACCAGGCTGGCCATCTCGGCCCAACATGTCAAGCCCGCATGCCGTCTGAACCAATCTCACGCGTTCTTGACCGCGGGGTCAAGCCACAGACGCATCGTCTACAGATTGCCGCTGTTTCCCGGATGCAATGAAGAATGCCAACCGACTCATTCGTCGTGGATGGCAACGTGTCGGCAGACGTCTGCCGATGCCTATGGGAATATAGGATCTGTACTCCTTTCCTCAGAGCCCAGAAATATATACAGAGTAGAATCCACGATCATTTAAGCTACATAATCCTAGTGGGTTCTTCTCATTCCAACAAGGGCCCATGTTAGGCGCAAGTAATGCCTTGAGAGGACGGAGTAACGATAACGGCTTCCCTTCCGGCTCGAGAGGGTGCAGAGAGCCGCCGCCGGGTTCCACAGCAGACGGCTCCCATCCTGCCATGGGACAGGTTTTGAGGTGCTGAGACTTCCGAATCGAAAGAAACGCCAACTTGATGGACGCACTTTCATGACACCATTCGCCTTCTTGATGCTTCAGTCTTGCCACAAACTTCTTCAATTGGTATGGTCTTGCCCGCATGCCACTGCAAGGATGCAACGTGGAATCATTTGACCCTGTCGCTAAGATGCATGGCGAATAAACGGCGAAATGTTGCAGATAACGACTGCATCTCATGTCACCGGGCTAATAGAGGATCGGTAGCAGCCCCACTGCGCACTTGTGGTGTGCTGCTCCTCTTGCGCATTGGTAGCCTCGCGAAGAACCACAGATCAACTAGAGTCTACATGCGCGATCTCACGGGCATATAAGGCAAGCCTACGTAAAAAGAGGCTTGGGATTACGCAGAGATCCAGATGTCACGTCACTGACGCTGTTGCTTGTAACATGTCGACACAAGTCATGTCTGAGCTCAGCGACCCAGAGCTGAAGACTTGTCTGAATGGCTTTTTCAAGGCGGTTCGAAAGCTCAACGATGATGCCTCCTACCACTTCATCGCTGACATTGTGAGTCAGAATGTCGAGCTCACTAAGGAGAACAGCAGGCTCGAAAGCACAGAGAAGGCAAACATAACACAGATCGTCAAACTTGGCCGGCAGCTCGACGACGCAAGGACAGAATTGAGAAACAAGGGAGATCTCGAAGCCAAACTACAGGACAGCGAAAGCAGACTTGCTGAAACAGATTTGGAGTTGCAAAAGACCATACAAAACACGAAGAAGTATGAGGCTGAGAGTAGGCGGCAGGAGGCGAAGGCTTCGAAGTTGGGAGAGCAACTTCAGGAGTACAAGAAGATTGCCGAAGCACAGGCGAGAGAGGCGGCTGACAAGCTACAGAAGATAGACAGCTGGCGGGTTCCGATGAAGGTGGGCAAGACGGAGACAGAAAAAGCGTCAGTTCTAACCCCGCATCTTCTCTGCGAAGCTAATCGGCATCGCCGATAGTACCGCGAACTTACATGCCCTCTTCATCGAGACATGCGTGCTGGTGAAGAACTACTTCAGCGACGACTTGTCAGACCAGATATGTAGGAACACCGCCGCATGGGAAGCGCTCCGAAAACACGACGCGGTGTCCCGTCACAAAATTCCTCTGCCATCATCGAATTCACCGCAAGCTAAGCAGGTGCGGATCGCCGCCGTCCTGGCAGTTCTAGGCCATCACCTGGCAGAGCAGGTGTTCCAGCCGCTCTACGTCCGGGAGGAAGGAGGCGAGTTGGACGACCTCCTCAGCGACGTCGCCAGCGAAGATCCTCCGAGAGAGGCGTTTCTACGCTCGGTACTGCTCGCTGCTCTCTCCACCGAGGAACAGCAGGACAGGAGCCGAGAGCGCTTGAAGAACGTCCTCCAGCAGGTCATCTCCGCCGTGCAGCCGCTAATCGCAGATAGCAAGCAGGACGCCTTCCGACGGACGCTGATAGACATATGTGGGCGGTATTGCAAGGCCTGGTCCGAGATCCAGCACCTAGAGGACAGGGTCGAGTGGAGTCTAGATGACGATGAGCCTGAGAACTTCGAGCTCTTAGAAAGGCCACGTCTTGAAGACATAAGACTGAATCGTGACAACGGCGGTGATCAGGGATCGGGAGGCTCTAAAGCCGACTCGAACCGCCACCCAGACAATGCTGTTCCTCGTGAGACGAGAGGAAACACCGACAGCATCGCGGCGCCCGTCTGGCCTTGGTTCTTCGTGAGAAGAGGGGAAGGACAGGTAATCGCGAAGGGCTTCGCTCTGGGAGAGATGCCGGTCAAGGTGGCCAAAAGTGAAATGTCAAGCCTCAAACGGGCCCACACAGGCGCCCGTCGTGAAGCGAGGCAAAAATCTAGACAAAACTCCGGGCAAGGTGAGGGTAGTGACAAGACCTCGAAGTCTTTTTTGTCCCCAAATGGCTCCGCCGAGTAAGATTGCAGGCAGTTCTGAGTCGGCAGAGAGCATCAGTAAGATCGAGGATCTTTCGTCGTGGCGGAGAATTGTAGCGGTCGTCTACTGCCGACAAATATGGCTCGGATGATCACGTACGCGCGACGCGGGGCGACTTATTCGGAGGTCGACGCGCGAAGTGTTGCTAAGTCCTGTGCGTGCCCGTTAGAAGAGTTAGCTGCCATCAATACAGTCAGACGGAACCTTCTTGCCTTCCCATTTTCAAACGTGAAGTCTCGCCTGTCGTATCCCAGTGAAGGGCCCCAGTCGCTCCTTACACTCTCATCTCACAGCTTTCGGACTCCCAGACTTTAGCTAGCGGATAGAGTTTGATGCATCCGAAGTCCGAGGCCGTACGTTAACACTAGCAAACGCCCGAGTGGGCCGCCTAAGCCTTGCTGATCAGGGGAGATCTTTTGTCACAAGAATACCAGCGCTCAGCTCCAGAACCAGAGCTTGCTGTTTGGTGTCAGACTCTCTTCCGCATCAAGGACTTCAATGACGTACCACAGTCATCCGGTTACGCTTGAGGTATTCTTTCACGAAGTTACCCCATTTGGCCATCTTCGTTTTGGCCTCTTGCGCAGACCACGAAATATTCAGGCGGGGTGCGGAATGGGGCTCGAGAATCACAGCTCGCTGTTCGGGTCAGTAAGTTCTCTCAACCGCATATAGAGGGTGCTTACAGCTATTGGGAGTAGCAAGTCCATGTCAGACGACAGGTCCCGCACTAGGGGTAGTGAAGAGAAAGGAAATAGAAGGAGTACAGGGTAAAAGAATGCTGGGTAGAGAAGGGGTCGCTAGGAGGGAAAGAAGATTGGGACAGGAAAAATATTGAAGCTTTTCTTCTAAATAGCATGATTCCCTTCGGCTTTATGCCCCTTGATCCCTCGGAGTTATAGACGCGGGCTCGCCAGAGACGGACAACTGCTTGCTGCCTATATGGAACCAGCTGCATGGTAGTATCGCACTTAAGCACTTAAGAGGAGATGCTCGCTGCATTGCAAGTGTCGAAGCGGTGTCGAAGCCGTCCGGCTATTTCTCACCATCTCCCGTGCGTCAACGCATACACTGCGACTTCTCAATGTAGATCCAACAAGTGCCTTGGGGATAATAAAGGGGCAAACTTTTTGAAATCTCGACTCCCTGTCACATGTCAAGATGCCAGACATCAGGCTACGCTTCTATCATCAACTTCCAGAAGTTGCCCTATACTTGATACTGAGCCATTGCTGGGGAGAGAACCTGGTAATCAAGCTTTGCAATAATATTCTGGCGGAGTGTTCCAGCTCTCAGGGACTACCTTCGCATGTCCTCGCAGAACAGTCCGCCTCCACATTTTGAGATGCGATTCTCGTTACTCAAATTTTGGGCAATCGCAATCTATGGATTGACCCGTTACGTATCACTCAGAATGACGCATTCGAGAAGAATTGTGAGATGAATGTCCATGCATGAAATTTACTGCCATTCCGATCTCAACCTCTTCGCCACGGCTGCCACACATGGTTCTGGGAGTTTATTTCAGGGGCGCGGACCCGGATCCTGTACTCCTGTAGCAGTAGAAATCGCCCATGTCTGATCGCATTCACTTCCCCGTAAAACATTTCACTCACGAAGTTCTTTGAGGACCTGTCAACGAACGGTCATGGGGCCTCCAGGAACGACTGCTGGCAAGAAGGGTTCTCCATTTCGGCTTAGCCAGATCTTCTGGGAATACATCACTAAGCTAGGTGCTTGAAGTGTGGTATTGTAGAAACGAGCTTCGATGATTTATGAGGGTAGTTCCGAGGGTTTCTTTTTCTCATCTTTCGAGAACAGCTGAAAACCTTTCAAATCTAATCTAACTACTACCTAGCGATCATTCATCTAATAATCACTCGTATAATTTCCTGTGCATTCGCTTCCCACAGCTCAGACGATAAACGTAGCAAGTTGACATCCTTGTTATCATCCGCCTCGCTGAAGTAAGGACTGGCAAAGTCTGGAGTTGTATTAGCCACACCAACCAAACCCCATTCGTCGTTACTGGCTTCTCTGAGAACGAAGTGCTTGGTTGAGCCACGGAGAATAAATACAACATCGTCCTTCTGAGGACTAGTAGACTTACTACAGAAGAAATCAAAATCGCCGTTATCCATAGCGAAGAGAGGTAGGCCATCGAACATCTCCACCAAGTGCCTTGCAAAGGACCACCGACCAAACTCTAGATCATCCGTCATAGCCTCCCCGGTGATAAGTGGATTGTAAAACTGTTTCGGCGATTTCATTCGCCTACGATTTGGCATCACGTCAATACAGCGGCACAGGTACTCAATGAGCCGCTCTCTCACTGTCATGGTCTGGCTACTCGGCGGTGATCTGACATGCTGAGCGATGAACTCCTCACAACCAACTAAGTAATCCTTGCAGGACTGTAAGACCAAAGCGACGGCCTGCTTGAAATAGTCCGATCGCCCATTCTGTTTCAATATAGCGTCCACCTCGCATCGAGGACCAACCGCCGTGATCTTTCCGACTCGTAACGCATCTATCTGCAGCTTCATGCCATTGGATAGTAGCTTGATAGGATTCCCATTCATTTCATCCGCGTTAGTGTAGAAGTTGCCACATTTCTGCTCAAAGTCCGGTACCCACGAAGGAGTGCGAGCACCAGAGAATGACGATAAGGCTAAAACGTCGACACTGCCTGACTCCTCGAGCATCCATGCGGCGTAAGTACGTTGCACCTCCTGAACAGGCTTTGTGTAGTCTGCTGCAAGTTCTGTGGGCATTTGCCACCCATCCTTCCCAACCAGTAATCCAACGAGTGCATAAAACTTGTCTCGTGGGTCAGTCGATTGAAAATCTGCACATCGTGACAAGTGGAAAGCAAGCTGTTCCGCTGGGTGAAACTCCCGCGCTTCAGCTTCATCTAGATTTGCCAAAACCATGTTACGATAATACCATGCCTGTTCGATTCGATGTAATAAATTCGGATTCGCCATCTTTCCGGGCTCCGTGACTTTCAAAGACGTTGGGATATATACTAATCCCACGACCCCTCTTGCTAGACCTTCATACGGTATTCTTAGGCTACCTACCGCGAACACGACCTTTTCAAAGCGGTCTGCCCGTGGCCGAACTGCGATTTCTTGCACGACCCACATCCGCCCAAACCATGCACGGTGCAGCAAATCCAAGAGAATGTCCATACCATGTGTGTTGGAATCTATAACAGCCTCATCGTGCTTAGCATAAGGGCCCTTGGGATCCTTGAAAAGGTTGGACCGAGCGACGGCGACCTTGAAACAGTCGTGGAAATCGTTGACGCTATGCGGCGCATAATCACCCAGCCAGATAACGACACTATCCGCGGCAGCGTAGATCTCTCGCATCCGGGGCACGAGCGAGTTGCGCTCCTGTATATCTGTCTGATTAATGCATAAACTATCGATCCACAATCGACGAGGTTTTGTCTTCCAGCGGAGGTTCTGCAAGGCGGACATCAGATTGGTGGTGACAGGGTAAACATGGCCGTCAAGTGTAATAGAAATAGTATTGTGTACATCACCCCATGCGTACGATAGCGCTTCGTAACCACATGATGAACCGAGCGGAACATGTTCCGTGGTGCAGGTGATAGGCTCAGAGGACGAGCCTGGCTGTAGCGTAACCACTCGCATTTCAGAACCGTCCCCAGCGAGAGGTCGATGTGGAGACCTATGCCGGAAGACATTCATATTGATAGGCCAAGAAAATTGAAGTTATCATGAGGTGGATGTTGAATGCGTGGTCTGGACGAGGTTTGGAGGCTGCAGAGTAATCGATATATTGGTGCGGCTGAATTCTTGGACACTAGACTGCTTCGGGCCACATCATCCATTCATAACTCATGAACAATATCTTTTAAGACTCTCATCCATATAGCTGTGGTAAGATTGATCGGATATGTATAATTTAATATATCATGTTTCTTGGAACGCTGCGTAGCTACGTAAGTTGGATGGCCGAATATCTTATTTCAACACCCAATGATTGGTAGCCGCGATCAAGTTGTCACAACTTCTAGCAAAGATCCTCACTTTTCGATCAACCATTCGTAACTTCCCACAAGTCCGGAGTCTGGATGTTTGCAATTGGCGAACGATCTAAGAATGTCCCCATGATCTGGCTCAAGTTAGCATGGATCGTGAGAGCTTCACCATCGAGAACGGCAGGGAGCGCAGCTTTAGCCCAAACACGCCCACGCCCCTCACAACCATCCATGGTTCATTAGTCCTAGCGATCCTGGTCTTCAGCTCAGAAAGTAGTCCCCCGCTTCCCAGGCCACAAATTGCGGAGTCGCCCGTACGGAATTTTTGGTGAAAAGGCCCAAGGGAGAAAGCTGATTGTAAGCCAAAATTGTTGCCGGAAGAGAGAAATATGGTGCAATTACAGGAGCATCCTGTCAAGGCGCGATACTGAGAGACTGGATATCCAATCAGATCACGGCATGACATGCTCGTCCTGGCACATATAGGGAACCTGTCACATTTTTCACCAGTTCCATGATCCCTGTCGGGCTGACACTTCTCAATTCCGGTCAGAACCAACCAATCAGCAGTCGATAGGCGTTCATTCCTTTCTCTTCGAGATTCAGCGGCAAGCAAAAGCAATAATGACGACGAAACTAACGCGTAAACTTGACCTCGATTAATGTATAAGTCTCCGAGTGTTTAAAAGTAACAAGTGGGCTTCCCCTCAAGAATCGCATCCACTGCCCCACTACTCTGCTGCCCAAGCCGCTCGACATTTCATCGACGAATGCCATTCCCATGATAGACTTCGCCTGAACTGTATGCTCAACTACTTGAATCTGCATTGCTGTATGTAGGAATGGCCCGGCCGTCGACAAGTGGATATTGTCACACTTGCCGGAAAAGACGCATCAAATGTGGTTCGTAAGCTGATATCAGCTTTTTTCAGTGTCATTATGGCCTTCTCCGTTGATGAGCGCTGACGCTCTTTGCCTAATGAGCAGATAGAAACCAGCCTTATTGTTTCAGATGTATCAAATCCGGCTATTGTTGCCGTGGGTACGATCTCGGCCTCCAAATACAGTCCCTAGTGGTGATCACCGACTCCACGGGAAGCCAGCGCCTCGTTCGAGCCCAATCAGAAGCCAACACTTCTGATAATACCTATGATGACAAAAAACGCCGCAAGCGTACCAACAAAAGCTCTACCATCAATACACGGGCACAAAAGGTCGTGCAAATTACGGAAACCCCCAGTCGTGAACTAAGCTTGGTCGCATTCCAGGATAACCTTGCTATTTCTTATTTCTACTCGTCGTATAAATGGGGAGGCTTGTGGAAGCCATTCATTGAGTCCTTACACGACTTCGATACAGCAGGGAAAAGTGGAGTCCTAGCTCTTATATATGGTCATATAGGCATGGCCAACGGTTTGATAAACGTACGGGTACGAGGACAACAGCTATATGGTCAATGTATAAGCCAGGTACAGTCGCAACTTGACCAATGCGACCAACTGGAGAACAGCCAAGTGGCTCGTATTGCGATGCCGGTGATGCTGATGGCAATGTATTCGGTAAGTTAGCAATGCATCCTACATCTTGGTCTAGATTCTCGATCAAGACACAAGCTCCCTATCAAGAACCTTTCATCATATAGAATACTGTGTTTCTCTGACACTGGTAACTTGATTAGTTTGCTATTGATAAGGATAGACGAATGGCACATCATCTAGGAATGGCGAAAATCCTCCAATACTGTGGGCCCGAGGCGTTTCAGGAAGAACCATTGCTCTCAACATTTAGGTCTATGAGACCTCAACTCGTAAGTCTACCCGATGCGACACATGGATCTCCACATAGAGCTTAGCTAATATTATCATCAGATATGCCAGTCCCTAGTGACCTCTCGACACACATTTTTAGGAGAGGAGCAGTGGAAGACATTGCCTTTCTCTAAAGTCAACAAAACATGGCGTGATAAGCTTCTCGATATCCTAGCCGATATCCCTGGCATTTTACAATATTTGAAGGGTTCGACACAGGCGTCCCCGGCGAACACTAGCCTTCATCGGCAACTTAGGAAAACGATCGAAAACTTGAATCAGTGGCGCTCGGCCTGGGATCGTGAGGATGAGACCTCCGCGTCGCTATATCCACCGATAACTGGCATTCAACACGTGGTCTTCAATAATCTTTCGGCACCTTCTCTCAAATTCAGCACGGTGTCTCGGGCCCTCACATTGTTGACATATCAGGCTATATTGATCTATCTCATCCAGCTGGAGACAATCTTTGGTATCAAGGCTTTACTAGACGAATCGCCCGGAGCTGATAGCGTTAGCCAGCATGGAGTAACACCGCAACCCAGCCAGCAAGTGGAGAAACCGAGTACAACACAGTCTTCACTCCAGCCGGCGATGGAGGGCCTCCAACTTTTCCCAAATTTGCAGGATCATCTTTCGAGTGAAGAGCGTGTCATGATTGCCATGTTCCCAATCGCGGCTATTTATTGTGCCTTGAGCAATCAGCCTATAACGACCGGTCCCGATACTGTTCAGCTTAGTCGGTCGTCCCTATCGGATGCTGCGACAGAACTCAGCATCTATGAAGTTTCCGCTGCTGAATAGGCGCTGCTGGATAGGGGTTGTTTTTACTACACGCCATTGGAATGGAATCTGCTCTTCTCCCGCTCCGTAAGCACGAGACATGTTATTAATGATGTTCTTCTTCGACAAATCCTACATGACATAGAAGCCTTGATTCGAATCACTAATTAAATTCATTGCATCATGTTGCTCTTGTTCTAGAGCGGATTTGAGAATAATCATTACTCAAGTCCTTGCTCTGTTTCACAAAAGCCAATATCAAATACAATGAGTGGGAAAAATATGAAAGAATGGGTTAGTATACATAGTGTCTGGTTGTCAGAGTATATTGGAGTTGTGTGATTACGGCTGAAGCTCTGCTTCATTGCTTCTTCGACTAAAGTTCAAACAATCAATGCATCCTCCCCACGACTAGTCGTCCACCGATTAGTAGCTACGACTAAGTCGTCGCACCCTTCTAGCAAGAATCCCCATCTCCTGACGAATCCTTCTGTGACTTCCCACGAGTCGGAACTCCAACGCCCCCATACCATGACACCGCGAACCTTCGCATCATTGTATCCCACATACAATCCACCAAAAAGATCATTGTTCAGGACGTCTCTGTCGTACTTTCCTTCGAAACATATCAGAGTGTTCCGCATCATAAGGCTGGGCACCGTATTTATAAGCGGATCATGAGGTACGGCTTCCTGGAAATTAGTTGGCTGAAAAGTAGGTGGAATCGAAGTCGGCCAAGGGATTGACAAGGTTGGGAAAGACAGTATGCTCTTCTTTCCGTCGGATACATGGCTCAAAAGGCCGAGAATGGCCATATTGGATAGCATGGCTCGTTTAACATTGTATTGAACCATGGTAATCAATAAATGATCAGAGGATAAGGGGGAAATGAGACAATTTGGTAAGATAGGGGCTGAAATTTCGCATATTTTGAGAGTCGATATGTTAGATGAACCGTCTAAGTCATGGGTCTCTTCAATTACCTCGCGGAAAAGTGATACGTTAGAACCTTTGTGTACGTATGCGTCCGATGAGGTTGAGACAGCGGTTGAAAAACATGTGCATCGCTCTTCGCAGGACCGTGCCTCATCGTGGTGGTTTTGATTTGTGAGTACGAGCATGCCATTCCCAGCCCAATGCTCCTCGGATACCAGTGGTCTCGCTGCGGTCTTCTGCTCATTCGCCTGAGTTGCTTTTCTTTTGCGTCCTGGAACATCAGATCAATTACTTTGGTCAGAATTTGTTCGTATAATTGACTATCGTACGCCATGCTCTCTGATCAAGTCTGTAGCTTTCTGCTGTATCCATCTTTTGATCGACCTCCTACGAACGTCCTATAAGAATTCTGTATCGAAGAGTTATGCTACTCTTCTTCTATATTGCCAAGCGAATTCGCCCAAAGCAGTATGGCGTACATATGTTAGCGAACATCCGCACTAGTATCGTGCAGTCAGGAGTAGCCCTACTGTTGGCCGAAAGAGAGCCCATGCATGCCTACATAGTAGTTAGTAATGATAGCTAGCGTCAGAACTTTATCGTAACTACTAATTCAATATGCATAGGTCTCACCCCGCATAACCTGGACTAGTGGCCGACTCCACGATTTACTTGCCCAGATTGGTAACAATGCAACGCTCCTCCCCACACTTGAACGCCCCTGGCTCGGCACTGACGTTAGAGTACCTCATCAAAGCCACCAGTGTGCTGGGTTCACTACTACTCCGCATATGAAGCCTCGGCTGGCGCACATGAAAAGACTTGGGGCGTCAAGAAGTAAGGAGGGGCAGGCCTCTTTAGGCGCGAGAGATGGTTTCTTCGCGTGGAGACAAAGTGTCCTTCGCTTCCCTCCACATTCCTATCTCCATCTACTTCGATAGCATTCACACGTACGAGTAGAGTTTCTTAGATTTGAAAACCTGTTTGCCGTGAAAAGATTGTGATACACTTTGGCTGATATGCCTATGCACAACGGCTGGCTACCTCGCGAAGGCTTCAAAGCCGACACGGTTCTCAAAGTCCTGGGGAGGACGGCTTTAAATCCTCTATTCGTGCTTCCGTTGATCCTCGCCGCGCAGTTCTCTAAGAAGGGCCAACATCTCTCAATATTACACCCCCTTGCCTTTTCTCGAGTCAAAGTCCTTTTTTATCTAGGCCTTCTTCGATGGCTCAACAACTACTACTCACGGGGTGTGTTGAACAATTGGACTGACGACAGCTTCGACTGGAAGAAAGAGATTGTACTTATCACTGGTGGATCTGGTGGAATTGGGGGGCATGTCGTGAAGTTCCTTAGTGAGCAGGGTATCAAGGTTGTCGTCCTTGACATCCAGCCATTGAGTTTCGAAGCTCGTGAGTCTAAGCTATTGGTTATTACTCCTACGTCACTTGGCTAACGGGATCAAAAGCTCCAGAAGTCCACTACTTCGAATGCGACATAACCTCGCCAGCTGAGATCGCTGCCGTAGCGAAAGAGGTGCGCCTCAAAGTCGGACATCCAAGTATTCTCATCAACAACGCCGGCGTGGCTCGGGGTAAGAATCTTCTTGTAGCGAGCGAGCGAAATATCCGCTTTACATTCGATGTAAACACGTTTGCGCAGTTCTGGACCGTGAGGGAGTTCTTGCCGGACATGATCGCTCACAACCATGGCATGGTCGTAACAGTCGCTTCGTTTGCCGCCTGGGTAACGGTGCCAGACATGGTCGACTACGCTGCATCCAAGGCGGCCGCGTATGCTTTTCATGAGGGCCTGACTGCTGAACTGAAGACGCGGTACAATGCTCCAAAAGTACGGACCGTAGTGATTAATCAGGGATATACCAAGACAGCACTTTTCACGGGATATCATAACGACAGCCCGTTTCTAGTCCCGACTTTGGAGCCAGAGACTGTCGCCGAGGCAATCGTCAGACAAGTGCTCACGGGGAAGAGTGGACAGGTAATTGTGCCTAAGTTTGGTTCAACACTCTCTGCTCTGGCAGCTATGCCACACTGGTATCAGGTCCGATTGAGGTCTAAAGGCGCGAATATCATGCCGAATTTCCGCGGCAGACAAGTTGTCACAGACTTGGACAAGTTCTATGCTGATAGGGAGAAGTCTGACACTGAGGAAAGCACTGTATTAGTTCCGGAGGCAAAGTGACCGGTAGAAACAGTCCTGGAGATCTTCCAGTTTATTGACTTGTATGCATAATGTGCGTATGGATGTGTACAATTGTCTCTGTCGGTCAATATCCGCTATATATCTAAAGGCTGTAAGAGACATGTTGGCTACATCAAAAGGCGTCACAGCCAGTATTGGAAAAACCAATAAGTGGCTGTAAAATAAAAATCCACTCTTGTAGGGGTTCCTAGTGATCTTCTAGCCTATTTTCTCGAAAGCATTGTGTCTACGTCTTTGGTCTCGAGAGCCTTTGCATACTCGCCGATAGGGTCCATGAAGCTTGGCAATTCCTGAACACCTGTACACACCTACACAAATAGAACATGTGAGTTCAGGTGATGATCAAAGAGAAAGTGTGTAGTTTGTTCCTTGTTTGGGAGGACTGGGCCCTCACACTGCTCGAGTAGTGTCCTCTTGTGCACCCCCTCGAGCTGGGAGGACTCCTGCTCTAGGCAACGATAACAAGGGAGTGACTCTTGCAGACTGTTGGCACAAAACAAAGGTGCATGTTTCATTGTTGAAGAGTGTTGTCGTCGTAAGTGATTGTTCGCTGTTGGTCACAGGCTGGCCCGCCCACTGTGCACGCAACAACGCTCTTGACTTGAACAACGACGACACTGTGATTTAACAAGGACGTTGTTCAGAAATACGCCTTGCCCAGATTTTCAATTTGTGATCAAGTGACATGTTTACTCTAATCCCATGAGTATATGAGGCACCTCTTTTGCCCCCTTATCATTCGACACCCAAGCACAAAGCTCCAAACCTCACCTTACCTCTACCAACCACCACAATCGCTGTGCAACAGCACTACCCAAGCTCCTATCAAGCAATACAAACCTATTCACATCTTCTCACAAGTTCTGACGTCAATTAAAGCTACTTCACCGCAAGCTTGGACAACGTGGTCACCACCGGTGCACTGTGAGCGCAAGAAACAACCGTTCCCCTTCGAAAGCTACCATCACCACCGCAACACCTTTGCACAAGGAAGCTCGAAGCTTCAACATCACCAACAAGATGACAAAGTCATCCACGGCGCCGTGCTACGGCAAGAAAGACCTCAACATGGAGGCCAATGTGAACGACATCCATATCGAGGATGAGAGTGCTCTGCCGAAGAAGAACCTCCGAAGCCCTCGTAACGAGCGCAGAGGTGACAAGCACAGAACCATTGTTCTGAAGAGAAAGAGAGACAACAAGAACTTGTTTCGCATCCTGGTCGAGGGCGGACACACAGAGCTTGTCTAAGCCCTCCAACCAACTTCAAGAGCTTTCGGCTTTGCAATGGGGCACGATGCCCGGGAGGATCGGCAAACTTTGGGGAGTTTTTGAGAGAGAGGGGGAGTTCATTCAATGATGTGAAGGGAGTTCAGGGAGTTGCTTTTGTAAACGTTCTGGCTAGGAGGAACCCGGCGTCTTGCAGACCGTCACGGAGAGTTTGTAGGCTTGGGGGCCGGTGTTAGGGGCTCAATCTGTTCTCCCTGACAAGATCTGACCGTACGTGACTACGTGATTGTGAAAGGCTGGCTTGCATATCGTGAGATTCTCTAGCCATAGCTTAGCTGGAAGTTTTAAAGCTCAATTCAAGCAGCAATCACTGCATATGATGCGTCCATGTCCCTCTTTTGATGATCCGTTTTGCTAGTGATTGCAGAGCATTGAAACATTTTATATTTTTGACTTCCTTGACCTTTATAGAAAACGATCTGACAGTACCCAGGATGGAAACGGTGCTCAAGCTATTCCATCTCATTTCCTCCTTATTTCTTCAGGATCTTTCGCCTTGATGGAGTTTTGCTCATGGCGCGACGTGGGCGTTCTTTGTCTCCAGCTCAGCCGCATCGCTTCGGGCCGCTAGATCAGGGGCTCTTTGAACAGAAGACGGGAAATGGGTCACTGAAATGCCAGCACAAACTGCATTTCTTTCACACATGGATTCCAAATTATTTAAGATAGATCAGTTGTAGGTAGTGTCAGCATACACTGATGGAGGCGTATGCGTTATTTAAAAAGGGGCAAGCCTTGGCGTGGAAATCCTGCAAGCCATTGGCGTAGGAGTCCTACTCTCAACCTTGCCATTTTCTCCTCTGCTTCTCCTGCATTAAAGATTAGGTGCCGGAATGATCGCTATAAGCTGGGCAGCTTCTCATCCCCCTCCGCTAGGGTAATAATTGCTAGTTCGGCAAGGGGATCATAACCTCTTCAACGAGGAATCACTATCTTGACAGAGGTCGGTGATGCCGTAGTAATAAACAGAGTCTTCGAGATAGCAATAAGGATCATAAATTTCTTTATATAGTACTGT